AAGGGTGGGTACAATGTTTTCACAGCAACACTGTTGGGTCAGGACAGCATTATTTGCAGTGATTGCCGAATGAGTGGTGCTGCTAGCTAGCTACCACCAGACCCAGGTAGTGCGCAGTGCAGTAAACTGATGAGTAACAAAACCAACCCATAGGTCAACATACATGACCTGTCAAAAATATTCTCGGTGGTTAACTGATTAACAGTCAACCACTGTCATCCCTGCTACAACATAATAGACTCGTGTTTTAGTGAATTCCATGCACGTTCTGAAACAGTAGCCTACAGCGATGCTAACATTACTAAACACCATTAGCTTATGTTTTGACAATGTGCTGGAATGTTGTATGTCATTTGCAATCTCAAGAACTACACATCCATGGAGGCTCACAACTTTCTTACCAGTGCCTTAACAATCTAACACTGTTTGGATAAAGCCTTAGATCCTTTTTTGTTTAGCTAGAAACAGCAACAAAATCACCATCACCAATCCCACCAGACTCCTTTTAAATAATCAGTAATTTAAGCATGTATAGAGTCAGCATATTTTCACATCTAACTGGGTGAATAAGGGTTTCTTTTTACAAAACCAGAGTCGGTGATTGTTGGAACAGTGGAGAGACAGACCAAGATGGCTTTTGTGAGTTTTACTTTGTTTCTGGTGACTTTAAATAAAGTGTGTTTTATGATTATAAAAAAACAGTTTATTTAAATGGAGTCTGGTAGGTCTGACCATATCCATTCTGGGGCTGTTCCTGTAACATCAAGGTTTATCTCTGCAGGGAACATTTCAATAATGCTGTCAGACACCTATAATGATAATCTGAGCCGGTCGGTGACAAAAACAAGCACTTTAATGGATGTAGATTGATTGTGTGTGTGCAGAAATCCACACAGCAACTCATCAGCATGGTAGCAGATGCTTAGTTTCCCCCCTCAGCCTAAAATACGTGAAGTTTTTTTGGCATTCCCATGAACACTGACTTTATCTATATCTACTGTTCTGGGTTTGCAAAAGAGGGAGGTCTGGTCTGGAATGAAAACAGCGAGGGTAATGTTATCCGTCGATGCAGACAACAGGCCTGCAGCGACAACCAACACCCACAGCTGCCAGTGTAAAAATTCATCCTTGGAAGCAAACCTCTGGGCCATAATACTGAATGTATCATAAAACATAATACACTGCAGTTCTGTTACTGTTTGAAATTCTTCGAGATTCTTCATCTTTGTTACAGACTTCAAAAATTGTCAGATTAAGCCAATTTTCTTCTTCTAATTCAAAATCAGGTAAAAGGTATAAAAGTCAGTTTAGCAATTTACTTCCCTTCAATAATTTTTCAGCTTACAATAGGCTTATCCGAAGCCTCAACAAAACAAGCCTAACAGATTATTTTATCTCATCTAATCATATTCTCCCTCCCTCTCATCCTACTGTGTTATTCAGGCCCTTTCTACTCGTCTTCAACCTTTCAGCAGAATGCTAAATAGAGAATTTTCTCTCCGGGGACCCGAGAGCCTGCTGACATGTCACTCTGCCTGACATTCCTTGCGCTCCCCGGGGTCGTCAGGATGGAGTTTTATCTCATCAGAGTGGAGGAAAGATGTTGGAAAATCTGTCCATCCGTCCATCCAAGTGAAGTCCCTCTGGTTCCCATCAATCTGCACAATGCCTAGGGAAGTGTCAGCGCTGACCAGCCCACGCAGCATCTTACATCGGGAGCGCTTGTGGGGCGAAAAACTTGTGCAAGAAAGTAGGACTGTCTGTACTAACCTTGTTGACCAGCTGAAATCATTCTAGCTCTTGTGTGCAGCTGCTAACTGACAGAGGTGGTGTGGTTGAAAGGATATATGTCTCGTATCAAGACGGAGACCTCTTAGAGTTTGTGCCCACTGAGTGAAGTGCTTTCACAGTGTGTTAAGTCTGCCAGACATGTGGGACGGTTTGGGAGATTGGACTTTAACTCACAAAACCTTACTTAGAGACAGAAATCATCTTACTGCTTAATTTAAAGCTGGATGAGTGAAGCAGAGGACCACATCCTCCTGTACCAACCCAATAACAAAACTGAATGGTGATGGAGGAATTATTTTCAAAACGACTCTTTGTTTTTGGCTCCTTGGGGATAATTTCAATTTTAGGACAGTTAAGTGCCTGCAAAGTGTCTGCCAAGGTCTGTGCCAAGACAGCCAAGAAAGGCTGCTTTCTATTGCCTAAATTATTCCTTTGTGTGTGGGTAAGTTGTTTAAAAAAATTCAGATGATCTAAAACAACTGGTAGAGTAGACGATGTTGTATTTACTAGCGATGAGCAAGTACACCATTATCTGTAACTGTAACTATTCAATCAACTACATTATCTGTATCTGTACTTGGAATGGATGGAAATGGGCGTGGCTTAAACCATAAGTAGGTAGGACTCAACCAGAAGTTATTTTAAGCCTGAAATTGATACGGGTTGATCAGAAGTTCCTGGATTTATCATTCATTGGAAAACTATTTACAGAAGAAATTCAGATTCAGATAGTTTTTGATCAGAAGAGTGAGAGGTTGAACAAAGTATGGATATTGACACAATTTACTTGGATGATATTCATACTCATAAAAAATACTAGGGCTGCTCCCGATTAAGAATTTTCCTAGTTGACCAATAGTCATCATTTAGAGCCATTGGTGGACTAGTCGCCCACATGTTTCTGATTTGATTGTAATGATTAAATGATATATTTTGGTGTTTTGAGTTGAAGGTGTGAGAAAGAATAGTATCAGTAACATTGTTAACACTGTGCTACATTACAGAGAAACACAAAACCGTACTAATGACCCTTCATTAATATAGGCCTATATTTTATCTACAAGTGCACTTCACACACTGAGCGAGCCGCCTGTTAATGATGCTGTGGGCTAATGGGCATGTAGCTACTTCCATGTTTCAGATGATACGTCATGTTTGTAGTCGACCAATGAAGATGAGTTTACATATCACCTTGGGTTCGTCCTTCACCTTCTCAAAATGATCCCACACTTTGGATTTCCTGCCCGACATGTTATTAACTAGCCTGTGGAATAACCTCAGGTACCAGCCCTGGAAATTAACCTGACTCCTGTCTGACTGCTGAGCGTGGATACTTCCTGTTTCTGTCCTTTCAAATTAAATTCCCACATGGTCATATAGGTTTGGATTTATTTTGACAAGGTGCAGCTCCTGATAGAGCCACCAATGAAAACTTGCTGACGAATGACCTTTCGGGTCAACTACATTTGGTTGAATATTAGGGGGCGACCCTACTGAATTTACCACTAGATTTAGTTTCTGTGTGCCTACATCATCTGATCTTGGGGAGGAGGCTCAGGATGCTCCAGTCAGGGGGTTGTGTGCTTTGAATGACTGAACTGAGACGCAGCTTCTGCCTCCATCCACTGAGATTTAATTCAAGTACTGAGATTATTTCTGAGCAGCTCTGTGAGAGTTATTTCTGATAGTCAAACTGCTAAAATTCTATCCTCTTTTCACAACCTGTTTTCATTCCCAGGGTGTCAAATACAGCAGCTTGGTCAGTGGTGCACAGTGTCTTATACTGACCCACAAGGCACCCTTTACTGTCTGCATGAGACACACAGGGCTTTCAGCTAACTCCAATTTAAATGCATCTGCTGCAATATTAGATGCTCAGAGTAACTGACATAGTATGAAGAGTGAGAAAGTCTGCTTTGGGTTGATGTCAGGATGATTGGTGTTCGTGTCCTGTGTGAAACCAAAGAGTAAAGTTTGTTGATTTGTTTGGATCCCCATCATTTGTGCTCTAAAACATTGGTTCCCAACTGGTCCAGCCACAGGGTCCAGATTTCTCCTTAGGCATTTGTCCAAAGACCACACAGTTCAACGTATTCATACTCGCATTTGGCCATGTCATTGAGCTAGTTTGCTGTCTCTGTCATGTAGCTGTCCGTTATTCACTCACTCTACAGCAGGGAACAGCACTTCAAAGAAAAGGCTCCGTGCCGAAACTTCACTGTACTTCAAAAGATAGTGTTTTTTTTGTTTGTTTGTTTTTTTTTTTACAAACTTGACACATTCAAGAGTCACTTGCTGTCCATTCAGAATTGACCCAGGACCCATCAGTTGGGAGCCACTGCTCTAAAATACAGATTCTTCCTGGGGTCCACATTTGAAAACACACATTTAACATCATAGTCGACACAAATCCAAACATTTGAACACATATGTTAAACATACGTCATGTGAGAAATGTGAACGTTTAAGTTATGTAACAAATACTGTCTTTTTTTCTAAACCTTAAGTGGGTGAAAGTTAATGCCAAAACCTGTTTCCTGTGAACAGGGAAGTCTACTTTGAAAAGAGACTATGAATGTTACGAGTGGAAACTGACAAGTTCCAAACTGTAAATTGAAGCGTAGGTCCACTGACCAAGATGTTATATTTATTGAGTTTAGAGTGAGAACATGTCTTCACTGGTTGGTTTGTTTGAGTCCGAAGAAACCGAAGTCCAAACCTAAGTTTCTCTAAACTTTACCCTACCAGTCTGCTTGCACATTTGTTTTTAGTTGTTCTGATCTTTACAACAAGAGAGTAATTATTTCCTCATAGTGCAGCTGTTCGCACCCATTGTTAAGGAATAATTTCCTGCTCAGTTTTACATACACAGCGAAACTACAAAGACATTTAAGATGACTGTGAGGGAAGAGAAAGAAATAATCCGTACGGCCACAAAGACATAAAAACAAGCGCTTTATGCTTTGCTTCTCTGCAAAGACAAAAGTATTGTGTTTTATCTTTCCTGTTTATTACGCTAACAATTCAAGGATGCTACCAGTGATGCTATCTATGCAAACTTTATTCTTTTCCCACTGACAGTATGGATGACAACCAAAGTTTAACTGTAACCAATCCTACTTTAGGTGGATTTGAATATGCCTTCTTGGTCCACAGAAAAACTAAAAGCCTAATGGCAGCATCATTTCCAGGGTTACTGTTGGACTCACCTCTCTGTCTGTAAGGTGACTTTGGAGGGCTCAACGTTGGGGTTCTCCCATTCCATCTGTGGGCAGTGCATGAAGTAACACAGGGTGTAGAGGGCCTCGGGCTCCCAGTGCACTGTGGTGTTGGTGGTCTTCTGGTGGACTGGAGTCCCATTGCTGGGGTTCTTGATGTGCAGTGGCTGGAGGAGGTGCATGGCCCGCGATACCAGATCACCTGGAGGATACATTTATATAAATGGGAGCGGTGCATGGATTTTCCCAACAAAACATGACAGAGAAAATAAAAATGACACAAATAGAACTGCATTAAATGCAGTATAATAACATTGTGTAGTACAGTGAAGGCAGATCTAGTCATTATAACAAAATCCTACGCATTACTCTCAGAGCACAAATTCATTTTCCTCCTTTGTCAGACGAGTACTCGCAGCACTTCTTTGATAAAGTGGAGACTCACTCCTTCATTCGCTCACACTCTGAATCACCGTGCATTTAGTCATACACATATGCCCACACAAACCTAGCTGAGTGGGAAATTGCTGCCTTGAAATTAAATCTTACGCACATGATGCCTCTCTCAGTAAGTCTGAGCTCTTATTCTGTCCTCATTTTATCTTTGGCTCTTATTTTTCTCTGTTTTTCTCCCAGTTCGCTTACGTGACCATCGAGAGAGTCATGGAGAAACTGCAGTATCTGTGTCACTGTGCAAAATGTTAAGTGAATCTGGAAAGCATTTTGAAACCTCGTGAACTTCCTGCCGATAGAAATGTGTAGGCTGGGAGAGGACACAGATGCATTACAGGATAATTTACATTTTTTAGAACATGGATGTTGTTTTGTAGCTTTTATTATACTGTTTCTATCATGAATGAACAAACATGACAAGAACAAAACTTTTTTAGTTATGGAGTCAGAGTTACTAATGCAGCATGCTCTTATTTTGACAGAGTGAGGAATCAGTCCCTCCCACATAATTTTCAGTTGAGACAGAAACTGCTGACTTTGAGTATTTGGTGGGAACAAAAGTTAGAAGAGTCAGAAGATCAATAACTCTGTCACATCTGTCAGTCGATAAATATCATAGTAATGTAAGGTTACAAATAGCAACCAGTTAGCTTAGCTTAGCACAAAGACTGGAAACATTGGCAGCTAACATGTAATCTTCTATAAAACTGCAAACTGTCATTTCTACGATGACCAAGATATAACATTGGGCCTTGGCCACATTGATACAATCACTGGCTCGCCCCCTTGCAAAAATAATCTCTCTATTAGTCTCTATGAGTCATATGTGTGGTGAGCATGCACACAAGGCCATACATGAACTGGGATGTTTTCAGCTTCCAGGAATTGTGTACAGATCTTTACAACATGAGGCCGTGCATTATCACGCTGCAACATGAGGTCGTGACGGCAGATGAATTGTGCAACAACAGGTCGCAGGATCTAGTCACAGTATCTTTGTGTGTTCAGATTTTCAGATGCCAATGGCACAGTCCCTCAAACTTTAGTGAGATATTAGTGATGTTACTAATCGAGCTTGTCTGGGGTATGTTTGAATCCCGAGCTGTGTCTCAATTCAAGAGTTGCAGCCTCTGAAAGCAGCCTTCGCGGTCAACGTCGGCCACGACCTTTGAAAAAGGTTGTCGAAATGGGACGGTCTGGTCTGCAGAGGTTTTCCTGGTTGCATCACCAGTTGTTCTCGCCTCAACCCTGTGTTCCTGCTACCTAGCAACCAGCTGCGCTTGACGAAAAAAAAGGAGTAAGCTAGTAAATTAGTTGGCCCTAAATCATGGACCCAGAGATTGTTATTACATATACATTGCCGGTGTCAGGCTGATGGACTTTTTTCAGGTAACCTTATCAAATTAAGATTGTTTAAGCTGTGTACTTTAAGCTAATAATAATGTTAACAACAGTTAACAATTAGCTAGTTAACGACTGTTAGTTAACTTAACTTAATATGTAATTGACAACAGTGCACAGTGCACCTTGGGATAGGCTGGGCCACAAAGGATTCATCCATTGCATCCTGCAAATTCTGGGAAAGAAGGCTGCATCTCTCGGCCGCATTTTAAGGAGCCTTCGAAATGGGACAGCCTTGGTCGCACCGAAGTGACGCAACTAGTCTTCAAATACAGCCTTCGAAGGCTGCAGCCCCTGATTTGAGACACAGCTTCAGATTTTTACGAAGTGCACAGACATCACAAACCTTGCACAGATTTAAGTCTGTATAGTCACGTTCAGACATTTTAGGCGGCATAAACATAAGTAAAACAAATTTCTGAGTAGAGGGGGACTTTAACTTGTCAGCGGCCTCATCTGGACACCCTTATGAAAAACATTTGTGGGCGCCACTGATGCGTAGGGCTGTCAACGAATATTCTAAATTCGAATTTAAATTTGAATTTGAAAAAAAAATGGACCTTCGAATGTGAAAATTGATATTCGATTGTGGAGAGAAAAAAAACACCACCGCAGCTGTCCTCTTTGCGAGTGGGCGTTGGCCTGGGCCGCTGCACTGAACGCACTGGACAAGCGGTTCTGCTCCCAGCTGTTGTCTCCGTCACCCGACTTGACACATCCGCTCGCGGCTCGCGCAGAAAATAGACCAGGGCCGGCCATGGAGATGCGCGGCGCTTCGAGGCTCTTCGCAGTGCTTCCGTGGGCGGTGTGGGGGGGCGAGCGAAAGGTCCGTGGTCGTTTCTAACGTAATGTTATAGATAATTGTTTTATGTGTTTTAATGTGTAGGTATGTAAATGTTTTCAAAGACGTTAATGTTGAAATAAAAATACCTACAAGTAATTATGTCTCCTTGTATTAATACATATACAAGTATGTTTCCTTGTATTAGTTTGCTTGTGGACATAATGCGAAAAAAAAAAATTTGAATGGTTCGAACCTATGAGTTATTTTTAGAAGGAATATTCGAATGTCATTTTTGAGCAATTTTGACAGCCCTACTGATGCGGTCGAGTCTTCAGAGATATGCAGTGTCCCCTCCTGTGTATGTGTATTTGAGGAGTCATACATGACTCAAAGGTTTTGTTCAGTAAAGCCCAACTTCAGTTTATTCATGTTGCAGAATATCTTGTAATATATTTTCCAACATCGTGACAACTCGCACAAAAAAAAAAAAAAACCTTCATGACTGAACACTTTACTGTAGAAACTACACAAACCACAGAGATTAAGTCAACCTTTGCTCGAGGAAGCATAGAGAACATTTTTGGCTATTTTCCTTGATAAATGTGGTCCATTGCTTTTCAGTATGAACCGATTTCAAGCCGCGTCTGTACGCAGCAGGAGCGAGGAACAAATGGAAGAAATTTTACAATTCTAATAGTTTTGAACACCAAAGGAGGTATGAATTTCAAAGACTGAAATCCAAACCCTGCGTACCACAGATATTCAGCGCTGACATTTAGAGAGTCATAGCTCTCTGATTTAGGATTCTGGCAACTTAACAGCAGTTTATCGATGAGGTCATTAGTGATGCATTTAAGAACAACGATATTGCTCTGAGAGGAGAAATACTGCAGCGTGAGCCTGTGGGGTCGATTTCTCAGAAAAATGAATACCCCCATTGATCTAATTATTTACTTGGTTTATTGGAACGCTGCAGGTTTCAGGCTCACAGGAGAACACGGACACTGAGTTCAGACAGAAAACACTGCAGCCTGAGTCTGTGAGTTCATGCATTCTCTCACTGGATACGCAAGTAATATGTGAATAAAACAAAATGTGTGAAAGTCTGAAGCTCTGAGCTGCAGTGCAACAGTAAACACACACACACACACACACACACACTAACACACACACATACACACACATCCTCTCTCTGATCTTGTTTGATTGTTTGTTCCAAAAATACCCAGTCTGAGGAAAGTTGGCCTGTCTCGAAACCTCATTGCTTAGACAGAATGACACGGTGAGTGTGCGCTCCAAGGTTCTCCATCTGTCAGACTAAAGGCCCCTGACAGAGTTCACAGGCAGTCAGATGTAACCACAGCACGATGCTCACAGCACAGTTTGCACTCCAGCTCCAGGGAGCATCATAGACAGATATCTAGAAATAATTAAATACATCAATAAATAACAGAAAACAAGGGAAATCATGCCCTGCTTCTATGACTGAAGATGTGTGACGAGATAAGGCTCCCGTCTCCAGGTATGACACATTAGACAAACATGATTAGGTATGGTCACGTAGTGCAATTAGTCAGATGGAGCGGGGGCAGCTCCCGGAGGTGCTCAGTGCAGATCAAAGAAATCATGATAAGACGTGCTCACAGACTGACCTTCAGCCATCGCTGCAGTTGGCACTGACTTTGAGAAAGTAGGTTTTTGGGACCTTCAGGCTGACCAAATCATAACTCTAACATCACCCTATGGGCTGGTGTAAAAATGTTCAAATCGGTTTGATATTAACAACCAGACCGGACCAGTATACCAAACTTTATTACCAGGTGTCACACTCACACTAATCACCTTTATTCGGGTCCTTTATAAGGTTTGGGGCAGGGAAGGTTTCTGATTGGATAGGGGGCGGGGCGGATGTTACATGTTTATGTTTACCGGAAGAAAACACTGTAGTCCTCGCTCCGGATAACAAGATGCTTGCCGACGGCGTTCTTAGTGCCTTTTTCGGGCGTTTTGCTTATATTCCTGAAGCAGCAGTACGACAACAACCTTGTTCTGCTAATGCTTCGTCTGTTGAGGAGGAGAAGGGAGGTACAAGGTCGAAGAAGGGAGATAGAAGACCGTGCTGTGGCGAATGGAAACCGGTGAGTGCAACGAGTCAGCCCGTTGCTATGCAGCCCGTTGCTATGCGCGCTATATACGTCATCGCGCCAGAAGGGCAAGGAAACGAGCATGCACAGAAAGACCGGAATGAACTTAAAGAGGAATGAGTGTATACATGCACACAAAATTCTTTCATTCGGAATGACAAACGGAATAAACCACCCCCTTTAATCGGATTTAATTTTCAATCCGAATGACCGTTTACATGACAACTTTTAATCGGAATGGCCTTTCATTCCGAATGAAAGTGGAATTAAACTGTCCATGTTAACATACTGACTATGGTATTTGTGTCCCCCTCCCTTGTCGACCGTCCACTTCACTAGTCCCACAAGCTCTCTTGGCATTTTCAGTGTAATAAATAAACAAAATACACTCACTAATATATCCTGTTTTCGTTAGTAAAC